TTTAAGTCTTTCCAATCATGCACGGAAATTCTAAAAATTTAAAAATCATGATGTTAAGCTTTTATACTTTCAGTTTTTGGATCCTTGTGTCACACATCTCCGAGACTGAATACAACCACTCCCACATTTAAAATACTTTCTCCATCCTCTTTGGATTTCCTCAGGATCTCCGCCCCCCCACCCCCACTTCCTAACAAAAGGCATAAAAATATGTCATTCTCCCACTGCACTCTACAGTCCCACCTACCTCTCTCTCTGTCTCTCCCTATAAAACTAGGGTCAGTTCAGATTCCTACTGAACTCCTCCACCAATAAATAAGGTTTGGAACACTTTTGACAATCATCAAGTCATTCACAGATCAAATACTAAATAAAAAGCCATGAAGGTGCAGGAGGCTGTTTCTCCTCTGTTACTCTGATTAGGTGTCGTTTGTCATACACAAGGATTGTCAGTGTGTGAAGTGTTAATTTGGGGCCAATCACAGCTGTGAAACACGAGACTCTTCAGGTGTCAGTAATAGGATGCTGCTCAAATGATAGCAAACTCTTATAGCAACAAAGTTTTTGGTAGAAAGTCAATGGCTTTGTAAAGTGCAACCTTCACAGTGTTACTTTAGAATCAGATGAATTTTTGTAGCAGCAGAAGAACAGGATGGCTGACTTTTCTGGCTGCGTGATTTTGCAACATGATTCCCAGACTTCGTCACATAAATCACATGTGAAAAAAAAAACTACTGCGGCCTGTTTTAAACTGATGTCATTCACAATAGTTTTACGAGATAATAATGAATAATGATTTTCAGGTTCTGCAGGGCCTGCGGTGAATGTGTGTGTTTGTCTCAGACCTCACAGCTCTCTGTAGCCCTGCAGAAGCATCACACTCAAGCACAGACACAGAACAACTCCCTGATTCGGGAGTTCAGACTAGTAGTCTGAACTCCCTCAGACTCCTGCACTCAGTTTCAAACTTTCTCATCTTCTTTCACTCCTGTCCAAAGCCTTCTGTCTCCTCGATGGCAAACATCAGCTTCTCCTTCAGCTGCTCATAGCTTTTGTAAGGTGGCAGGTCCAGTCTGTTAAAGCTGTGAGAGAAGGACAGAAATGGGCCTCACGTTGAGATAATCCTGAGGGTATGTTGTTAAACATGCCTATAAATATAACAAATATAAAACCCTTCTGTGCTTGAACTTAATTTGCTTCATAAAAAAGAGACAGAAGAGGGAAAGTCCAAAAGTTCCAAGACAAATAATTATTTAAACAGTAAAGCTATTTTATGACATATCCTCTATTTAAGGCTAAACACTTCTGGAGGACCTGTATTCGTCAAAGAATTTTTTTTCTTCGTTGAATTTTGGCTGAGCAGGTCACTGCTCTGACTGTTCTCTGTCTCTGATGAACTGTTAGGATGTAGCTTAAGCAGGGATTTTTTTTTGACAATATAACATCTGTCTAGGAAATTGTTATACCTTAATACCGTACGGGCAAAGTCACCACTTACTGAACACCTGTAATGAAGCACTTCATTCATCATGGGGATATTAAAAATTGTACCAGATATATATATATATATGGTACAAATTTAATATTATACATATATATATATATATATATCGTGAACTCACCAAGTGTGACTCCTGGGAAGCCAGTTTTCTTTTCCCACCTTCTCTATGCAGAACTTCTGAGGACCGTTACTTCCTGTGTACAAATAATTAAAAGTAATTATTAGTAACAGTGGTTACAGTAGCCCACTGTAATGATTATAAACATCTGTTCTGAATTCAGTGTATGGTAAGTTCTCTTATATAGACAAGAATATTGAGGTGAGGAACTCTGCCACTAGATGGTGTTAAATCCTGCACTGGGTACACTTTTTATACACAAAATATTTGAGAGAGACTTGGGTGCGTTCCCAAAATAACTCAACAAGAACAACCAGGTGCAGATGTGGAGCTGCTTCCTGAGCTCCTGGTATAAATGTTTGACATTTTCCAGTTAGACAATACAAGGCTGGTTCAGACTATTTATTGAAATAATTTGCACATTTTATTCTACTGCTGTACGCCGTTTGGTATTTGCTAGTTTTTGTTTATTTATTGGACTGTCACCCTCTCTCAGTCACACATATCATTCCTTCTCACGTACGCCCAGGCTGGAATGACAATAAAGCACCTTGAATCCCCGAATCCTTCAACAAAATCGTTTTTACCCATTAGGTCAGCGAAGCCTCCTACAGGCAGACGGCAGGTTCCAGTGACAAACTGCAGCAGCCTCATCCTCTTCTCATTGTCCATCTCCTTAATGAACTGCGGGGTAAAGTGAGATGATGATCATAATGTCCAGCATGTCCAGGACCTACTTTATATATTCAACAGTGACTTTGTCAGTTTGACCCAGACCTGCCAGAACCAGACGATCTGTTTACTGCTGCGAGCGTAGTGTCTGTAGATAGTGTTTCTCTGCCAGTCCGTAAGGTCGATCTCCTGCATCCCACACAGCATCACCTGCACCATAACACAATGTTTTCAAACGTGCACACAGTTTGGACTCATCTTATGTTTATCATGGAAATGCGTAGATTATGTGCAAGAAATGGAAATCATAAATCTACAAGTCACTTTTCTTATAATGATGGTAAACATGTTTGTGAGTAGTTTATGTTCTCAATCACTAATTACATAACGTCTTTACTGGAACATTTTGACAAATGTTTTGATTGATGTTCCTGTTAAGAAGAAAACGGACAATAAAGCACCATATTTTTAACCAAACCAGTGCTGTCCCGGTCATTTACATATGGCTCTAAACTGGGAAATATGTTTGTTTTGAGAGCCTTTTCCAGTTTCTCCTCACCTCCAGCTCTTTAGCATCAAAGTACTGCAGGTACTGCTGAGGCAGCACCTCGTTGAAGCCTTCAAAGAAAGCCTGTGTCTGCTCCTCCACTCCTCTGGACAGTCTCCATTCTGCTACCAGCCTGTAGGAAACAAAGACAAGCTCGATACGTAGACGAGGTACTGAACAAACACAGAGTTTAAGTTCACTCATTTTTTTTATCTTTCCTCTCATCAAAACAGTCAGTGAAGGCCTCTCCAACATCTGTCAGCAATTATACATGTAATTAGCCTTTACTCCCAGGTTGAAATGACGTCTTGTTCCTGTTAAAATGGTAAATGTATTTCCTCCAAAAGGCAATTAGTGAAGCCTAACCGACTGAAGAATGTGCTGAGTAAGTGGTCTAATGAAATGTGGCTGTGTAAACACTGGAAACATGTATTTCCTAGTTCAGATGTGTTTGTTCTACGTTCTACAAATGTAAAGCGGTCACCACATGTAGAGGATTAGATATAAAAGCTATGTTTTTATTGGTTACTTTTACTCAAAAAAGTTGAAGCTCAACCATAGTATCTGGTTATACGGTATATCACATCTAAAAGTACTTACCTAATGTACTCCTCCTTGTTCTCCTCAGTCACCTGAATATCCCCGCCTCCAGGCTTCAGCTCATGTGTGGTGATCTCTCCCAGAATCTCTTTGTCCACAGAGAAGAACATTTCCAGCCCACACTCCTCGATGTCATTGTCCCTACGAAGCAACAAAGACAATTTTACTACTCTGTTTTTATTTGCCTCCAGCTTATCATGTAAAAAGCTGCTGAAAAAAGACATTTCAAGACCTCTGGGTCTGTATGAACTATTAACCTCCCAATGGTCTTGTTTGTGTGTGTGCACTCACTTGATCCACATGAGGGAGTTGTAAAACTCTGGATCTATTGACTCCAGGTCTTTCAGAGCCAATGGCTTGTTTAAGATGCGTTTGTAAAAGGGCAGTGAGAAGCCAGTGTCGATGAACTTGCCATGGAAAAGAGCCTGAGAGTCAAGTCAGATCAGTAAGTGTGGCGTCCTTTTAACCTAAAGCTATTACTGTTATCAAATTTGCTGTTTTAAATGTGAGGAACCAACCATGGCAATGAAGCGACCTATGAACTTGAAGTACTTGAGGTGGTCGGGGTTGATGTAGGAGGCGGGGTTGATCTGCAGACAGTAGTTATCTTTACCAGCATATTCAAACAGGCAATACATGGGGTTCAAGACCTCGTGAGACAACAGGAAGAACCACTCTCTGCAGAGGAAGAAGAAGAGACTGAGATTAACAGGAGCTAAAAAGACAGCTCTTTAAAAGATGAAGGTGAGATGGTACATATGAGACACTGAAT